AGCTTGAAGTGCCCCTGCACCCGCTCCCGCCCACAGACCCACAGAGCGCTGAACGCCCGCCCCGTTATCGTCGGACAGGTGCAGGGCGGCGCGTCATTGTTCTGACGTCAACTGTTTGCCTTTCATTACATTTAGCCATCAATAATTCGTATGTACTTTAAACTGCATCTAATCGGGATTTAACGGATCGACAAGTGTTTGAAATATATAATTCTGGTATATGTCCTTGACTGTAACTGTAAGTGAAATAATTTGAATTTGCTGTAGTTGTCTGGTTTTGTATTATACAATTCTATTGTATTGAATGGTTCGATATATCAAAATATAAATATAATATATATAATATAAATAAAGAAGTGATTGATTGACTTTGTTTCCTGACTTGCATATTTTGACATATTGATCTTTGCATATTTTAGCAATCTATTTTTGTCTCTTTATCACTCCTTCTCTTCTTTTTCTCTATCCTTCGTATTTTACTGTCTCTGTATTTTTCGAATTAAATTTTCTTTCCCTCTGTCTTCATCCTTCTCCTGATATCTTACTCTGTCTATAGAGTAAGCACTCTTTTCCTCTCTCTCTCTCTTTCTCTGTCTCTTTCACTTTCTCTTTCTGTCTCTCTCTCTTTGTTTTTCTGTCTCTTTCTCGCTGCCTTCTTTCTTCCATTCTACTTGTGGTTGCTTTTACAATAACCCTTCACACTTTCTCTGTTTGTCTACCTCTCCCTTTCTCTCACTCTTTCTTTCTTTCCATCGCCCCTCTCTTAACTCTTTACCTCCCTCCCTCCCACTCTTTTTCTGTGTACCCCTCTCACTCTGTTCCTGTCTATCCTTCTATTAATATCCCTCTCTCCCTCTTTCATTCCTTCTATATCTGCAGCTCTCTTTCCTTCTCTCTCTCTCTCACTCATTTTAAACAAGAAATCTAATCTCCTATTTATACTAACTAAAATGCTAGCTAAAATACACTGTTACACGAACGCTACACACTGCTGCCAAAAAGTATGCAACACTTTATTATTAGTCCGTTGGAGATTAACTGTTAAAGAAGCGTTCAAGTAGCATACTTAAGTGTGGGGCATTCTCCGTCAAGTTTTTCTAATGCTTTAATATATATGTGAAATGCTTGAAGATTAGCCAAAGCTCGCAGCTGTTAAGGCAATAACTCTATAAAACCCCCTTGAGAGATATATGGCTATACATATCGTATCTATATATAGCATATGCATGCCGTAGCAAGTAAATTAACTTTTTGCGAGCACAATATTCGCCTGGCAAGCTTCGAAATATTATTCATTATGCCTAAAATGCGTAACTAAAGTAATTTGAAAGTAAAAATCGCGCACTCTCACGCACGCTGCGAGGCAGGCGTTAAGGCCTGAGAGCGGAATCTCAGGGTGGCCCCCCAGACTGGGGAGCTGGGGGCTGTTGAAGGCCTACGACTCGACGGGTGCTGCTCACATGTGTCAGGGCTGTCATCTAAGGCTTCTCTCTTGGCCCAGCCGAAGCTGCTGTGCCTTCGGGCCCCTAAATGTATGCACGTGTTACGACATTGTCATTTGATTAAACTTGTTAGCGCACGCAGCCTCAGCAGCATCAACAGTAGCAACAACAGAGTTTAGGCACCTCTTGGCCAACTTTGCCGACATCTTTAAGTTAAATGCGACGTGAGAAAAATAAATTGAAGAATGCTTAAAGTAGACGAGCGACATTTAGACACAAATTGATAAACAGAAGCGAACGCGTTGAAGCATATTTATTTATTTGATAAACTGAGCTGAACAAGTTTGAGCATATTTATTTAGTCTAACTTGTTTTGGCAAATCTGATTTTTATTGGAAATGAATTGCAATAGATTTCATTTGTGATACATATTCATAAACTTTAGTTTTGGGTGATTTTAGCTTTTGTTGTGAGAAACTTTCTTAGGTTTTAATTAAATTATTTAAATTTTATGACAAGCAAAAGCAAGGCAAAAGAGTATATTAATTTACTATTAATTATTGTTATTAATTATTATAGTTCATTTTATTTTCCATCACACAATATTATATCGTCTAACTATAAATGATAAAGTACATGTAGATCGTGTATAGAGAAGAACTATCGTAACAGAGATATACTCTTAATCCACTTATAAACTAAATATACGACAATAGGACATATTTGTTTATTAATTCCAGAAATACATTTAGCATATGAGCTGAAATGCCACTTCAGTTATTAAAAATCTCTATAACAATTTCATAAACAACTTTTTTTTATGTGATGTAGAATTTATGTAAATTTTTTATGTATTTTATTGTTTTAAATTTATTTTAGAAAGAATTTTTAGAATATTTATCTAGAATTTATATATCAAATTTATAGAGAATTAATGGAGAATTCATGTTGATTTTATATAGATTTAAATAAATAAATAATTTTATATAGAATTATAATGAATCTGAATCGATCTCAATTCAATAATTAGTCTGACTGTAAATAGTATGTAGAAAGTTGTTAAGATAATATAAATCTATACTGGCTTAATTTATAATTCACACAGGGCTGGTTATAGCTCAACTTTACTTACGTCTGTGTTTGATAATATTATTAAAACCAATTAATTTCTATAATCAAATTAAAATAAATATATAGTTAACTATCAACAGTCGAGACGGTGCCATCCTTAGTCTCTCAATAAGCTCATCTACTTTAAAGCTTATGCTTATATCATTGTGTTCTACACTACATATTTCATATAGTTCATAGTTATCAAAGCCTTTATCAAGTTTTCTAAAAAATAATAAGCTTTGTGTTGTCCATGTCTGCCAAACAGCAAATTTTAGTTTCGTACAACTTTAATCTGCTGTGAGACAACAAAGTAATATTCACCTTCTTTTTGGGCCACATATAAAGGCAAACGATGTTGGCTTTGCCAACATGTTGCTTACAAAGATTAAGCGGCTTATAGTATACCTTGGACTTTTTCATATTTTATGTAAATTTTTTCTCTAAACATCCGTAACTTTATTTGCAATCAAAAATAATTTATTTATTTTGCATATTAAGCTGCGCAAGTATTTATATAGATTTTGTTTATTTATGTACCTAATTTATTTATCTATAAAACTATGTTAGCTGTAGGCCGCACGACATTCAATTTTATCGGACAAATGCCACAGCTCCAGCCTGTCAATACGTGATGGATCAAGTGCTCACACCTCACCTGGGTCTCCTCTGATTCTTGAGCCATATGGCATCTGCAGCTGGCATTTAGTTAAATATAATTTAATTTGGTTCTGTTTTGTTTTGCTCGGGCTGCAACTCTTATAATTTCTCTAATAGTTATTCTGGTTCTGGTTGTTCTATGTGAATGTAATTAGGTTTGACTTTACTTGATTTGATTTGGCTTCACATATCTTTTCAGCCGCTTTGTGGTTGACAAATTTGAATTTGGAACTAACTGTGAAATGTTGTTTAATTACAGCCTTGACAGTGTCTGCTTTTAGTCTAGAATTAAATTATGTAAAAAGGAATTAAATGCCAATTTAAATTGCATTAAATAAATGCGAATACATTTTTGGATATGTATCAATATTTTGGCTGTTTATTGAGGGAAAACTGCAATGCTAATGAGATTGAAAAATAAATAATATATTTTATAAAATACTTATGATCAAAATAGAGATTGAAAAATATTTAAATTAAAATAAAATATATTATATTCATATGAATTTTGATTTAAGTGGTGATGCAAATTAATTTAATAAATTTTTTTAGTGAAATTGCAAATTTTTATTGAAAAATCTATAAAATTAAATTAAATATTTTATATAATATTCAAATGCTTTTGGTGATAATGGAAATAGGAATCGAAGAAATATATATTGAAATTTTGAGATATTTTATATAAAAATTATTTAATGTTTTTACTCTTATATTATATGAAAATCTTATGATGAAAATTGTGATGAAAAATATATCATAAAATTTGATAATATCTGTATTCTTTGTGGTATATTTGTATATTACTTTTTTTTATTTTATTTTATTTTTTATTTTTAAGTTTTTATTTAATATTTATGATGTATTATTGTTGAAAATTGAAATTTCAAAATATTTTTCTAATATTATTTTTATTATTTCTTAAATATTTATTAGTATGCATTTTTATTTGGTCGACTTCATTAAAGTTGAGAGTATTTAATATTTAAAATAACTCACTGAAACAATTTTCTTGATTTTCTGTTGCCTAAAGTTTAGTATTTCCCTAAGTTAACATTTTCTACAGCTCTAGTCAGACACTAAAAGGGTTCTCTCTCTCTCTCTCTCTCTGTCTCTGTCACTTTCTCTGTCGAATATTCTCGCTCAGCTAGCTCATATGTCTGTCTAGATTGCGTGAGGCGACGCCTAAGTCCCCTAAATGGAGGCTTCCGCTGGCCAATGGCAAATCTGGCAGTAAAGTCCCCACAACAACTACGAAAGTCAACCAGCTGAAGAGCTTTTTGGCAGTTTTGGGCTTTGGGCGCTGCTCGCAGGCAGTTGCAGCGGCATCAACACTTGGCCCAACAAAATATGGGAAAACAATTTGAAAGTTGACAAAGAAAAACGCTCGAGTGCCGCGTCAAGTCGAGTCGAGTGCAGAGGAGATCCCACAGCCCACAACCCAGAGCTAGTGCCCGGAGCCTAGAGCCTTTGTTTTATGAGTCGGCACGCTTCAGGGCGGCCATGATTGATGCGTGGCAATGCGCTCCATTTTTAGTGGATTCTCAAATTGCTTTTTCACGCTGACAGTTTACGATTTTCCAGTGTGTTAGTGCGCCGTGACATGTGGAACGGCTGCAACCATGGGCGGTGGGTGCTGAAGGGGGTAGGCGGGTAATATTGGATGAAACGACAGCGGCAGTTATTCAAATGCAAACGACAGCTGTCAAAATGGTTTTTGCTAAAAATTTCACATCATTTCATATGCTCTATCTATCTCTCTCTCTCTCTCTCTCTCTCTCTCTCTTGCAGTGGCCCTGCTGTCGATGAGTGGCTGGACTGCAGCTGCAACTGTGACAACTGAACGTGTTCCATGCATATAGTTTGCCAAATGATAAGACAACAAGGAACAGCTGTGTGGCGACTCAGTTGAACACACGTAAAGGAGCTCATCAGAAACAGGGAAACAGACGAAACATAAAAGCCAAGTCAATGTCGCTGCTGACAATTGTCAGGTTAACAACGATATTGCTGCTGTTTATGCTGCTGCCGGCGGCAACATTGTTAACAAATCAACAACAACAAAAAGAACAGCAACAGCTGCAACATGCACGCCTCAGGCGTCAAAACAATCCGGATCAAAAGTTTTCGCTGCCCGCAGTTCCATTGCCACCTCCGCCGCCTTTTCCAGCGGCCAAGCATAACTTTGCCCTGAATGCTTTTGCCATTGGCGAGCATTCAGCTGGCAATGGCAATGGTGCCGTCGGCGGCGGGGGCGGGGGTGGTGTCAGCGGTGGCTCCTTCTCTTCATCCATTTCCTCTTCGTCCGGCTGTGGTGGCTTACTCAAGTCACGCTATGGCCTCATTCAAACGCCAAATTTTCCGCATCGCTTTGCCACGCCCATCGAATGCGTTTGGATAATTGATGCCTCCGAGCTGCCGGCCACCGCCCAGGGCAATGTTTCCATTGTGGTCTATCTGACGCAGCTCTATGTGCTGGGCGGGCTCAAATTCACCGAGTACATGTACTACTCGGACGACTTTAAGGTGCCCGCCCATCGCGTCTTCACCCTGACCGAGGAGGAGGTCACCCAAGTCACCTGGCTGCAGTTCAACAGCCAATACCTGGAGATACGCTTCACCATGGCCACGCTGGACGGCACCCATTTGCGGGCTCTCGATCGATTGCTCGACGTCTACGGCTTCAATATCACCTACGAGGTGCAGCACGAGGTGAAGGCCAGCCAGTGCAATACCCTGCAGTGTCGCTTTCTGGGCGACTGCTATGCCAGTGCCGATTACAGGTGAGTGAAAAGCTAACAACAACCTTGAGAATTATGATGATGACCAACCTAACTCTATGTCTGAGTACAGCACGTTTGCAATAACCATATCTGGGTTAGTCTTATGTTAGGTAGGGTCTTTCGAGCAATCATGGGTCTATCATATGTTAATAGAAATCCTGTCTATATTATATTCAGATTTTTCTTGATCTTTATGAGACAAGGGACTAATTTATATTTAAAATTTTATAAATAGTTTATTTAGGGCTTATTTATACATAATTTATTTAGGGCTTATATAGAACACTTACGAATAAGAGCAATTGGAGAATTTGTGGAGATTCGCTGTGAATTTTATAAAGATTTTATGAAGAATTAGTTCAGATTTTTAAGAAGTTATATTGATTTTATTTATTAATTTAATGTAATCTAGATTTTTATGAAGCTTAAAGAAATTAACATGTTCATACCCAATGGTATTATACAGAAGTTATAAAGGCTTTAGAGAAAGATTATTTCGCATATATATATTGATTTTATAAAAAATTAATATAAATTTCATAAAACGTTTAAGGCATATATTTTCCTTAAATTTATATATACATTTAAGATTCTACTAACATTTAAACGATTTCAAAATTAAACTCGTTCTCAATATTCTTCACAGAATTTAAAAAATTTCCCTTATTCCCATCAACAGCCAGATAAATTACATTTCCTTTCATATATTAAGGTCTCAATATCTTAAGCTTGATTGCATTTTCGATAGGAATGTGAAAATAAACAAATCAAATCCTTTTCTGCGACGACATTGAGTAATCCAAAGATTCACACAGAAATTCTGGCAAGGGGAAGGATGATGGGAAGGGGCAGGCTGCTCCCCGAACATTTAGCACAATGTGTTAACTAGCGTAATGGGTTCAATCTTCAACTGAACCCGGCGCAACCCAAGTCAGACGCAGATCCATTTTGTATGACCCGAAAATATTTCATCAATCAATCACGTCGGGCAACCGCTGTCCCCACCGACCCCGAGTCCTGCTCCTGCCAGCGAGCTTGCCCAGAAACCGAAGCTACACAAATTCTCATGTATGTCAAACTCAATTGCCAAAGTTATTCATAAGGACCGAGGCAAAGTGTGTGAATGTGTTTGTGTGTATTGTTACCAGGTAGAAGGGGAAGCGTACCAAGAGTTGAGAAATGCATCATGTGCTGCTGCTGCTGCTTCTGCTTCTGCTGCTCCTTCATTTCAATTGACTTTTGGCGTATGCAAACTTTTTGTATAGATTCTTTTTGTTTTATTTTGTTGCTGCTCTTTTTTGTTAGCCCCAGCGAAAATGTGTTGGCAATGGCTTTCATTGTTTGGCGGCTCGCCTCTTACACAGGGGAAACAGGAAGCGGAGCACAACGAAATGGAAGTTATTTGGCAACAGCAGCGCCAGCACCAGCCACTGGAATATTGCAAAATGTATGGCTCCCACTTGGTTTAGGCCGAATGCCGAGAGCCGAAAGCTGAATGCTGAATGCTGAATGCTGGAAACTGAAAGCTGAAGCTGAAGCTGAAAGGCCCCAAACACTTGTACCGTTTTGCCATTTCTAACGGCTGGCAGCAGGAGGCGGGCTAAGATTGATATGCAAACATTTAACAGTTTGCATGGTTAGCTGCCTGTGATTTTGCCCGCGTTGCGATTGCCGCTTAGTTTATATGCATTGACCGGAACCAAAAGGAAACTCAATTTTGAAATCGACAGCAACAGCACAGCCCCTACAGCAGCAGCAGCGCCAGCGGCAGCAGTCGCAGTGGGGCAAAAGGTCGAGAGGCGCAAAAGTTCGGACTTGCTTAAATATGCGTGGCAACCGGACGCACGTGGTGCAGCTACAGCACCACTGGGCCATCGCACCATAATCAGCCATGTTTTTTATGGCTTCTGTTGTCGTTGTCCTTGTTGTTGTTGTCGACCTCTTGGCCATGACTTATAAATGGCCAGCACTGGCGCTAATGTGCCACTAGCTCACTAAAAGCAATATCATTTATGAAGGTTAAGCAGACAAAGGTTCTGCTTAGAGAACGTTATGAAAGTAATAAAAAACAATCATCAAAGCGTATTTTTGCGATACTTGGGAAAGAGGCTCAACAATATTGAGAACAGGAAATAATTATGTATTTATATATGAATGTGCAGGCATGAGTTGACATAAGCTGTATATTTTAAGAGGAGTATATCTATTGATAGGAAATTTTCCATTAACAAGTGACGTAGATTGTTTCATCTTCAATGTAAATAAATTATTCATACGAAAAGTTTATCAGAAAAGTATTTAGTAGACTAGTCAAAGTCATCCCCTTCTAAATATAATGTCTAAAATTTATTCTCCAATTTATCTTAAATAAATTTATTAAAATTAAAAATATAATCTTAACAGCATTTTAATAAGTATAAACATTTTAGTGCACATTAATCGAATGACTTTTTTATTTATTTATTTTTATTTTTTTAAGCAAAGATGAATCATATTTATTTGTTTTTTGACGTTTAAGTTAATATAAATATAATTCATATAAAACTTACATATATAAATATAATCAACTTTAATCAAAGTAAGTACTCTCTGTCATCCGAATATTAACTGAGCTATATCAGTTCTACTGGTTGGGTTCTCCCCTTGAATGTCTAACTGGACTCTCTAGCCCAATTAGATTTTCGTTAGTCTTACCTTATACATAAATACATATATTAATTTAATTTATGACGTAAATATCTCCTACTATAACTAATACAAAATATTCTGTAATAATTATTTTGACGACTTCTTGCATAAGAATTCCCAATGAAATGCATGTGTTGCTCCTATGGTTATCACGTTCTATTATCTATATATATATATATCTAGAGGGGACTCCAACAACTCTTAAAAGTTAACTTGAAGAAAAGCGCAATAGAGAACGAATTCGAGTCAGAAGACTCAAATAACTACTAGAGACATAGGGTTTCTTCGCAGCTCACAACCCAATTGGCCTTTCTTTTGCTTCATACTATTAAACCGAAGTTTCGAACAGACAAGAGAACAACTTCAACAACTTTATAAACTTCAACAGCTTCAACAATTTGAGGAGTCCACGTCAATTTCGATTTCTTGGCAGAACCTTAGCTCAGGCTGGTGGCAAGCAGAAGTTTACAGATGTATGCAGAGTTTTCTAAAAAATAAATAAATTAAATTTGAAAGTTGCCTCTGCGAGCGGATGCCCGGCGGATATACAGCTAATTGCCGTAAAGCGCACAGCCGCACGAAATAGGGACGCAATTAGCATAATAAACAAGCCCAGGCCGGGCAGTTCGAGAGTTTGGCAGTTGGGCCGATCGAACAAATTGAACAATAGAATTGTTAATTTGAATTTTAACGCTTACGAATTGGCCAATTCGAAGGCAATTTACACGCCATTGGCAACACAGTGGAACCGCAGCACAATGAAACTAAGCGAGAGAGGCAATAAAAAAGAAGAAGCAGAGCAATCAATTTTCGACACTGGGTCAAGTAATGCGATTTATGAGTATGGCCAAAAATTAATAAATTAAAAAGCAAAACAGAAACAAAATAATTTTGGGCAAACGAAAAAAAAAAATAAAAAAATAAATATATTCAGAGTCGGCTGTGCTACTTAGCATAATTAACATTAATTGGACAGCGAGAAGGCAGAGAGAAAGACAGAGAGAGAGAGAGAGAGAGATAGAGGAGAGAGAGAGGGGCGTGTTTGCCTGGCTAATTGAATATTAATATTAATATTAATGTCAAAGTAAAAGCGAAATGTGTTGCCTAGAAATTTAATATAAAAGCGACTGTTCAGCAACATCCGATAGCGGAGCTGAGACAAAGTTCTCACCCCCACTCCATTCTCAATGGAGAATCGAGAGTGTGGCACGTAATGCCAAGCGCCTGTCACGTCAACTTAATTAACAACCTTGAGGCAAATGAGGCACCAACTTGGCTCACGGCTCTCTACGTGTTGTCAGATAAACATACAGTCGCAACTCGGAGCAGAGATAACATAGGGCGCGGGCGTGGGCGTGGGCGTGGCAGCGGCGACAAGTAGCTGAAGTTTGTCGACTTTATAGTTTATGCCACACAACAACTGGCACTCCCTCGCTCTCCCTCTCTCTCCATCTCTCTCTCTCTGAAGGTGAGCCGTCAGCTGGGCCACAATTTTTCATTGCAATTTTTATGATTTCGCCCGCTCAACGCGTTTTCTTAAGCAGATGTGGGAGCAGCAAAAAAAAAAGAAGAGAAAACAAATGCATAACATTTGAAAATATGAAATGCTTGATAAAACGCCGCGAGTGTCGAGGGCTGCGTCACACACTGCGTATACTTGACAATCTCTTTGGCTTGCTCTTGCGCTCGTCTCGCTCCTCTGCTGTTTGTTTATTAATTTCACTTTAACTGCCTTCCCGCTCTTTTTGGCTTTGTGTGCAAAATTTTAATAAGCCACATCAAATGTGAAAACAAGAGCAAGTCACGGCTGGGACTAAAGAGGGGAACAGAAAAAAGTATTTCAGGTTCATGTCAACGCTGGGCGCTTTTAAAATTAATGAATGCTCAGAGGCGTCCTTTTCGAGCGACTCAAAGCAATATCTTAGGTATTCTAGAAAATATCGAATGGTTTTTAGGTTGATTGCTTAAATGAATAGGCATTTAAATGATTTATTTAAAATATTAGATAAGAGAGGCATCATGATGATAATATTTAAGAAGACTTCCATAATGTTTTATATAGGTGGACTAAATTTAACTGCAAGTTTATTAAATTTTTAATTTGATTAAATTTTAATTTTTAAAATTTAATTTTAATTTTTTTTAGTTTTGATAGTTTTTATTTTAAGTTATTAATTAAGTTTAAAAATTGAAAAATGCGTGATATAAATAAATCAGCTGAATGCATTTCGTCTATACGTAATTTGTTTTATTTTTTATATATTTCTTTATTTATTTATATTTTGGGCTTAAATAACTTATTAATTTATTAA